GTTCTGGATGAAATGTGGTCGGCGAGGTAAGCCAAAAGTGGTGCATGCCAACAGGCTTTGGCGTTATCATGGTCCAGGACATTTCAGTTGGGACAAAGTGAACAAAGGAACAAATGACGCTGCTGAAGAAGTGTCACCTGAAAAAGCCACCATCGAAGAAGAAACTCTACTTAGTTTTGAGAAGGGAAACGGTGAATCTTTTGATGAAGTTACTACCACTGATGTGACTGTTACCGACGATAGGACATTTCCTGATGAAGCAGATGAACCCCATATGAAGCAGAAGCCAACGAGACGGAGACCAATACGGAAGAAGATATGTCCCATAAAATTAAGAGACTTTGTTGAATTGTAATTTTGTGTTTGTAGTTCTGTACATTTAATTGAGTTATTGTTAATTGTTATTGGTTTATTGTAAGTGGCTATTGTTCGGGACGAACAATACTAAGGAGGGGGCAGTGTTGCGTCAGCGAGGTCGCGTGACTAGTATCACGCCACCTCTTTCTGGAAATATCCTGTTCCTTCAAGAATGCCCTAGCATTTACTAGATATGTGTTAGTCTTTTATATATAAGACGTTCACAACGTGACGGGAACAGGTAATGAGTAATTGAATGTATGGTGATAAAATATTGTTGGCCACGTGAGACGTGAGTTATAGCATTTGTTATAGAGCGACTGTTGAAATTAAGTGTATCGTAAAGTTATATTCAGAAAGAATAAACCAGTTTTATTTAAGAAAGGACTTGTGTCGCTAAATTTTCGTCGTAACGAAGTTACGGAAAATTAACTAACGAACGGAGACGTAACATTTTAAATACTACTCTTAAGCTAAAATGTTTAAAGATTAACTATATTTGAACTTTTAATTTTAAACTGTTACCTAAACAGTAAAGAAATGCTAGGAGAGGGGAGAAAAATGCAACAGTAACCTTCTCGACACCTCTCACTCTCAGTCGTTCCTGTAGAGCTTGACGATGTTTCGTATTCTTGGTCACCCTAACGTTATTTTGGCTTTCAAAGGAAATCATATTCTAAAATTAAAGTAAGTCATGTGTCGGTCATATTTGTAAAACACAACTTAAAAAACAAAACAGCAAAATATCAACAAATAATTATATTACAGAAAATCACAATATATTTAAAGATCAAACCGACAGAAACAATTTAAAAAAAGTATGTCATTCTAGTGTTTCTATGCAACAATGAGTTTCGGAGCTCGTCTGTTACAAAGAGTAAAGTATAATTTTTATCACTGATTTGCCAAACACTAAATACGTCATATTCGCAAATAAATTAAACTTACATATTGAAGAAAATATTTTTATGAAAATATGTTTAAGAAAGAAATTTGTAAGAACAACTAATTTTTTGTGAAAAGGTAAAACAAAATCACATTAAAAAGAAAAAAAGGTGTTTTCAAATTTATGAGATTTAGAATGCAAATATATTCTTTGAAAATACCTCCAGCAAAGGTTTATTTACATTTTTGTTGCTTTATGTAAACGAGCCGGTTTTTTTTTAAATTATTTCATCTTGGAAGTTTGTAAGGAAAGTGCTAGAAGTTGCCCTCTTCTCTAAAAAGCAGTGTTTACTTTTCTCTCTCGCTTTTCGTTTCTGCAAGAGATAAACGCATTGTTACTAAAAATGGAGTAATATTACACCAACCTTTTTGGTTCTGCCTGTTTTACATTATTTTTCTTGTGAGATAACTTTATACAACAAAGATTATGTAAACTATATAAAAAAAAAGATACACAAGATATACAGTTATTTATATAAACATTGATAGCAAGTATACTAAATTTTATGGCCAGTGGTCGAACTGTGAATGATCTTTTAAAACTATAGGCCAAAATGAAATATGTAACGCCAAATACTTGTATACAATTGTTGGATAAAACTATTAATTGAAGGTTTCCGAAAGCTACAAAGGTTTTAAAAAATGGCACAATAACTAAATATAAATAAACACAGTTATGTCAGATGGTGATACTGATATTTCTTCTATATACGTATATAAAGTTTCGAATGTAATAAATCTTCATCCGAATTATCCTAGATTATCCACACAACGATAAAATAATTGTTATTATTGTCAACAACATATGTTCCATATTTTTCCACATTAGTAGCCTCCAGTATCTCAACAGTAAGTTTGAGGGCTCATACCGCTAAAAACTGGATTTCATTTTCGCGGAGGGCAAAGCATAAATAGCTCATTGTGTAGCTTTGTGCTTAACAATAAGCAAAACACACTAGTAGTATTTGTTTTTGTGCACACAAAATGGGATAAACTTTGCTTAAAAGAAAATATTTACTGAAATCAAAGGAAACAGCACATTTGGTTTCATTGTTGTTACGCGCAAATCTACACAATGGGCCAACACAGGTATTGAAACCAGATTTTTAGCGTCGGAAGCTTGCAGACTTGCCGCGACTATTGGGACGGGGAGGGGTTCAAAAACATGCGAGTTAATGACTGTAGAGAATTTGATTTTTAGTTACTGGTATATTTTGAATGTTATACTTAATTTTATGAAAAGAAAAAGAATCATTATGCTTTTAGAAAAATTATTCGTTGTTACTTTTGGAATGATTATTATAATATTTTACCATTTTCTCTGTTAAGACAATGTTAAAAGAAAATAATTCACAAAGCACTAAATATAATTATTGTTGTTCATATACTGAATTTTACACCATTGTATATAAGTGTTTAAGTTTTTTCTCAATGTTGTTTCATTGAAAACAATCACGAGACAAGAAAAATGCAGGATCACTACTGGATAGTACTTGCCATTTGTTGTGTGTGAACTAGTTACCACAATACTGTATTTCAAATAAAGCTGGAACGTTGCTTCTTCAGCTTGATATTCCAAACTATTAAGGAAAGACAGTTGTCATGAAAACTCACACGCATCTAAAAATAAACACGCCTTGGGTATGCGGATTTGCTTTTCACAGCAATTGCGCTATACTGATCACATGACCTCACCGAAAATGGATGTCAACTGGATCTCCATATCATTTTAACTGCTATGTTTTTGACTCCCAACATCCTATGGGTGTGAGTTTCTTGGAACAGCAACTATAACATCAACGCAACTCTCAGTCTCTTTTGGCCGTCAGGACTGTACACTTCCAGGACTAAGTGTTCCATATCTAACAGCTTGTAAAGTTTGCTTGTTCTTCACGAGAGACTCCGACAAATATGACTGGGGAGGTAAGTACAAATAAGTTGTAGTAAATCTTGTATAGTTCATTTTATTTATCGAAATTAGTTTTAATCTGTACAGAAACTTTTTTCTAATTTTATTTAATTCTATTTTTTTCCTTTAACAGGCTGAAGATCTGAGCAAGGAACAAGTCCAAAGTAAGTTCGAGATTCGATAGATTTTTTTTTTCTTTTAAAGATGACCTTCTACAAGTTACAAATTTATAGAAAAATTTTATCGTAGAATATTTATATTTACAGTTTGAAAAGGTACAAAGGCTTTTCTCAGCATTGAATCATTTTTCATTAGTTTTTTACGTAAGTAAGTATGTGAAAAATATTCAAAAATTAATGAAAGGTTAGAATAGCAATAAATTATTATATTACGTAAAAAGAAGGGCAAAGATCAAGACTGCTAGAAAAGCAAATAGCTTTTCTCGAGCTAACGAACATATTTCAGTAAAATAAAGAAAACTATTTTAAAAGCTAAATTCAGCTAATTTCGTTTTTCTTTTTTTTCGAATTTTAATGATTTTGATTTGTTTGAAGTTAAGCATAAATCTACACAATGGGCTATCTGTACTCTGCCCACCACGTGTATCAAAACTCGGTTTTTAGCTTTGTAAGTCTGCAAACATACCATTGTGTCACTTGGGGAGGAGGTCGCATTTTAATGATAAACAACTTTCTTGATCTCTCATAAGCTTTGTAGTCATAGAAAAAATCTACGTAATAACATACAATATAAGAAGGTTATAATCCGTGGGTATCTTGACTGCTGACATAAATATAATACTTATTATAAAACCTAAGTCAAGTGTTTAAATACAGAAAAAAGCTTTAAACATTAAGTTACTTTGTTACTTATCAACGTGAAGTCTACTTATTAGACAGCTGTTATGTTTAATCCTATATTCGAGGATCTCACGTAACTGTATAACTTGTGCCTTAAAGTATAGCCTTGTAGTTTTCTTTGGAGTTATGGTACGTCACACTTTTAGCCCTTAACTTTCATTACAAAATCAACAAACTTCTTAAGTAGTACAAATGCTTCATTTCTTTTCAATCTCCAACTATCACACAGTTTTATGGACATCCTTCTAAGCCAAAAACAATGTTTATTAACACTTAATATTTTGCCGAAATTTGAACGATCACCTAGCAAACATTATATAAGGTTATTCTTTCTTCCTCTCTTAAACTCTGGTTGTGGTTAGAGTATCGGATCGAGAATCAAAAGTTCTTTTGTTCGAGACGTCATTTCAACTGTGGGTGCGTTTTAGACTAGTAGCCAATCCTGCTTTGCTGTTGAGGTTGTCTTCTCTCTGGTTCGCAACACTAAATTAGGGAAGCTATGCCTGAACAATAGATAGTTCTGCCTGTACTGTTTAGCCTAATGTGTGCACCAGGTCTCTTTCATGTGAACAAACAAGCTCCCTCTTTTGTTATTATTATGTGTATGCCTAACAATGATTCAAGTTTATACAATTTATAGGTGGTCAGGTAAATATAAAATGACTGACCCAAAACAGGGAAATTGGGTATGGGTGTTATCAAACAACATCATCTGTCTGCAAACAATGTCATCTTTAAACGTGAATATCTCGGCCTAGAGGTATTCTTTGTGACTTTTAGTTTTTAGAAAATCGAATATTCTAGATCAAACTATTTAAGTCCTATAAGTTTTGTTATTCGCACGAAAAAATCAAATGTTCCTTGAATACTTCGCTCCTCTCATGTATGTAAGTCTAAATGTGAGTATTACGTTTTAAAGTTGAGTAATACGTGATGTCAAACTTGCCTGATTCGCTGGATGACGTTGACAGTAAGAGTAAATGTTAACATAAAACTGCGTCATTCTAATTTCTAGTGCACTATCTTTATTTCTATCCTTCAGCTTTTACCTGTATTTTTATGCAACATGTGTATTCCTCTATGAGGCAAAGAATTTCAGTAGGCTTCACTTTGACTTTTGTTTTTTCAATAACAAAAACCTAATTGTAATTTCTCTTTTTGGTTTGAAATTTTGGAGAACAACAATTTGTCATAAAAAAGTATTTGTTTTATCTGTACTATTTTAAATCTGTTATTTTCGAGTCCAGCAGATTTAGATTTTGTTGAAAAGTTCTTTAATGTGTTAACAGTACATTAATTTTTCTCTGTTACAAACTTAACCTTTTATTTCTTTTACACATCTACGTATTGTTGAGATATTTTTTTTGCAAATCTTCTGAAGAGAATGACATAAAGGAAGATATCTGAAATACTTTTTGAGATATTGATACTTAAATTTGACTCTAAGCGCTACTTAATTTCCATACGATACCTGACAGAGAAATTCTCGTTGACAGAAAAATTTCTATACGTACTTTCAGCAAGTTATGAGAAAAGAATGGTCAGAAACATTACTTCTCTCCACTCAATCATGCAAGAATTATGACGGTTTTTAATAGTACTTTATTATTATTAGAAATACCATATTCGGAGGGAGAGGGAAGCTAAACCATTTATTTGAGGGTTTCAGTTTAAAAACAGCACTTTAACTGATATTAAAGGAAACAATTAAGCATGTTGCTAATACGTTTTTTTCACATTTGTTACTGGTGTTCCTCACTTTGTTTTGCAGTTAAACTATATATATTTTTCTTTTTGTTTATTATAGTACAGATTTTTACAACACTGTCATGAAAGAATCTGCTATTTCCAGACAATATTTTTTTGTTTTATATGTTTATTGTATGTTTTATTACTCATCTATATGTCTCCCAGTGGCTTAATCGTTCGTATAAGAACTTTTTGGTTATTGTACTACACCATTAAAACACAAAAATAGTATTTGAAAAGCTAGAGCAGTTCTTTTCGTATACTACCAATAATGCGTGGGTGAAAGTTGGCATAGTGTTCTCATACTTTTGTACGGTATACCTGTGTGAGTAACATTTGAGAAGTTAAATAAAGCCCTGCACATTGAGTATCGTAAGCTCGCAACACCAAATTTGGCGATGAGCCTATTCTGGATACTGGCTAAGACTCTTAAACAGAATAAAAAGACCTTCTTACATATACCAAAAAAAAAAGGAAAATATTGTATAATTTTACATTTTAATAAAACTGGAAAATAATGCACTAGCAAATTTCCATTGTTTAAAAACTGAAGTATTATCAACAACTTTTTAAATTTTGATCTGTAAAATGATAACAATTTCAAAGATATCAAAAGCATTTTATTATTAAATTTTTGTTTCGGATTTATTTCCCAATAACAATAAATGGCAGATTTTAAACGTATTTTTATCACCACGTTTTATATTTTTATGTAGGCACTAGAAATATTTTGAGATGAACGCCATAACTCACCCCATTACAAGAATACAGGAACAAAATAGAAGATTAATAATACCGCCAGTAGTGAATTTTATGATATTGTTACGTCTCCGTTTGTTAATTGATTTTCCGTAACTTCGTTCCGACGAAATTTTAACGACACAAGTCTTTACTTAATAAAACTGGTTTATTCTTTTCGAATATAACTTTACCGATACACTCAACTTCAACAATCGCGCTAAACAAACGCTATAACAACGAACGTCAATAATACTTCTGACTGCAGTTCAATTACTCACTGTCTACACACACATTACTTTAATCTCGCGTCACGTTGTTCCCTCTTATATATCCCAAACTACCCTATATCTAGCAAATACTAGAGCATTCGCCAAGATACGGGATAGTTCTAGAAACGTGGCGTCACTGTAGTCATGTGATCTCGATGACACAACAATATGATACTTTTACGAGATTTCGTTCTTGAATTTTCGTGCAATGTTTCAAGAAAAGCTGTAGCTTTCTTCAACTATGAAAAACGTAATGTGCGTGTAAAACATATCTTACTATATTGTCAAATTAAATATTAGTGTTCTTCTAAAGTACAAAATAGCTATATGATTGCAGTTTTAAAATTATCTTTTAATTTACCTTGTTTTGTAATATAACTTAAAATTATTATATATAGTGTTGCGAAAAGCTTTCGACATGTTCGACAGGGATAAGAAAGGCGTCATCCACACCAACATGGTGTCTACTATCCTCAGGACTCTAGGCCAAACCTTCGAAGAGAAGGATCTAAAAGATCTAATCGCTGAGATCGATCAGGACGGTATGTGTTTAAATATTTATTTTGTATTTAGAATAGTAGTATTAAGGCTATATGATGGAGAAATAATGATGGTCAAAATAACGCTATATACAGGGTGTCTCAAAAATAGCTTCAGTGTTGCACCATCAAAACTAGGCTTAGCACTATATTTAGTCATCACTATTAGTTTCAGTTTAATTATAATTGATGTTGGCTAATTAAATATTTGTAATTGTTTCGATACTACTTTAGGCTTGTAACAGAAGAACATAAAATAATATGGTGTAACTTGATTGTGTTGCCAGTAACATCACAGATACATTTCGCGACGTTTGAACAGAATATGATTTATATTTTGTAAACAGCAAACTGAAGCAGTCGCTAGATAAAATTTTCAGCATATTGTTACGTCTCCGTTCGTTAGTTAATTTTCCGTTAAAACTCTTACCGAAGATACTTTACCGAT